CCACGGGGGAGATGGGTGCAGGGTGGGGTGGACGAGGGGAGCTGCGAGGTGGGAGGGACTATCGCCAAGGCACGGCAGCATGCCAAGCTTGGCGGGACCGTCCCAAGCGTGCTCCCGCCCCGCCCCGCAGCGCCACCGCCGCCCCCGCTCACTTGATGAGAGCCGGGAACAGTCCCAGCTCCGCCTCCTTGGGCAGCTGGGAGCGGAAGGTGGTCACAAACTTGAGGGCATCGGCCTTGAGGATGGGCTGGGCGTCCACGCCGCCGTCGCCGCCGCCGCCGCTCAGCTCGGGCGCCACCTGCTGCAGGAAGAAGTCCTGCAGGTTGACCAGCGCGTTGGTGGCGGTGGCTCCCGCTGCCGCCGTCTTGCCGCGCACAGCCAGGGCGGTCACCAGGTACAGGGCACAGTCCTTGGCCTTCCAGGCCGCCGCGGGGCTGCGCGCGTGCTCCGCCAGCATGGCGCCGACGTAGCCGCTGAACAGCTCGGTGACCTGGCGGGGAGGGGGAGGGGGCGGGGGAGGTGGTGGCGTGCATGTTGACAGGGGGGGTGGGGGGTGGGAAGCGGCGGCGTCGGCGGAGCATGGTGGCGATGCGAGCAGCGGGCCCTGCCCTGCGACTGACCCCCGCGCCCCACCACCAAACACACCGCCACCGAATGCCCATGCATGCCCCCACGCCGCCCCACCTGCTGCGGGAAGCGGTCTGTCAGGGACTTGACCAGCTCCGAGGCGGCCCTGCGGCACGTGTCGGAGTCAGACCCCTCTGTGTCGCGCCGCACATACTCCACCCAGTTCATCTCAAACATCTCCTCCTGCCACACAGCCACGCAGGCCAGGCAGGGGCAGGGGGGAGGGTTGCAGGCTGGCGGGGTGTGGGGCCGACGGAGGCCAGGCAGCTGGGGGGCACACAGTGCCTCATACACTGGCTGCAGCAGCGTGCGCGTTTGTGCACCACCACACCACCACACCTTCTGTCCCCACGCCTACCCCTGGCAGGCACACAGCCACACAGGGAAGAGACACACACACCCTCTCCCCCTCTCTACCCCCCCCCCCCTGCCGCCCACCATGTCCTCCCGCATGCGCAGGTTGGGTATGACGATCGACTCGCAGATCTGCCTCAGCGTGTCGGCCCCCTCAAACAGCTGGTGGTGCACGGAGCGTGAGACGGCGGTGAGGAAGTTGATCGCGTGGAGGGCCAGGTTGTCCTGCACAGGTGTGTGTGGGTGTGTGTGGAGGGGTGGTGGTGGTGAGGGGGTGGTGGGGGGAGTGGAGGGCCCGATGTGTTGTGGAGAGGCGGAGGGGTGCGTGAGGGCTGGGAGGATTGAGTGTACAGCCGCCCCTGGACCCAGGCTGCCACCCCACCCGCCCCTCCCCCACACACGCACGCCGCGCGCGCACCTGGCCTGGCGCCTGCGACACCTTCATCAGCAGCGTCCACACATCCTGGGTGAACGTCTGCAGGAACTTGGCAAACTCCTCCTCGTTGCGCTCCATGAACAGAATCAGGCACTCGCACACCTGCGGGGCCACGGGCCATGTGTGCACGGCGGCGCGTGGGAGCGGAGGGTTGCAGCAGAGGTGCCGGGGGCAGGTGGCAGGGGGTGAGCGGACAGCCAACGACCAACGCATGCAGGGCGCAGGCCTCGCAGCGACAGGCGGCCTCGGGCACCACGCACCCACAGAAGCCCCAGCCCACACACCTGCGCCTTGACGCCATCCACCACGCTCTCCTTCTCTGGGTCTGCCTCGGCCAGGGAGGCAGGCGCGTCGAATGTGAGGTAGGTGTGCCACTCCGCCATCCACGCATCTAGCGTCTCCTCAAACGCCTGCGCACGCAACGCACAACGCAACACACGCAGCAGCGGGGAGCGGCAGCGCTGGGTGCACGGCACGGGGATGCGGCGCGGAATGCACGACCACACACGCTCAGCAGCGGCCGCCACGCGCCCCCACCGGCTGCGCCCCCACCGGCTGCCCCCACCCCAGCGCCCATGCACGCGCGCGCTCACGTCTGTGAGGCCAGGGGAGTTGAGGGAATAGAAGATGGATGCCACCAGGCGCACGTTGGACAGCAGCAGGCGGAGGCGGGCGGGGTCGCCGCCGCCCGGCGCCGCCCCCGCCTCCGCCACCTGCTTGCTCAGCGCCTGCAGGCACGCCAGCAGCGGCTGCACTAGCGCCTGCGAGTACTGCAGCTCCTCGCTCAGCTGGGCGGTCATGAACTGGCCCCTGCAAGTGTGTGTGTGTGTGTGTGCGTGTGTGTGTGTGTGTGCGCGGGTGGGTGCCACCTACCCCCGGCCCCCCCCCTTGGTGCCAACCCCGCTGCCACCACCCGCCAGCCAACCCCCTCCACCACCACCACACCCGCCCACCTGTATCGCTGGTAGATGGAGTCTGCCGTGGTGAGCACGCCGTCCACCAGCTGCGGGTCGGGGCTGCCCAGCTTGGCCACCAGGTGGGGCAGCAGGCCCTGCCAGCGCGCGGGGAAGTCGTGGGCGGAGATGAGGGACAGCGCCTCGCTGAGCTGGGCGCGCACGCGGGGCGGCGCACTCAGCATCAGGTCGGTGATGTGCGCCTTGACCTGCTCCTGCACCGCGCAAAGCGGGAGAGGCGGGGGCAGGGAGGGCGGGCAGGGGCTGGGGGATCGGGGAGCTGGTCTGGCTCGGAGGCCCGCGGCGCAGGCAGGCAGGCAGGCAGGGAGGTAGATGTGGGAGCCAAGCGCATGCCTGCGTCGGCCAGGCAGCTCAGGGGATGCCCCGTGCGGCTGCGCCAGCCGGTGCGGACCTTTTCGGGGTCGGGGATGACAAAGGGCGCGGTGCCCAGCCCCTCATCGCGCGCCACCTGCAGCAGGTACACCAGCAGCAGCAGCGGGCATCAGCAGCAGCCCAGTCTCCAGTCCACTTACCCAGCTTGCATCGCTGCCAGCCCCGCTCCGCTCCCCCACCCACACACTCCCATGAAACCCACGCACCCAGTGGTACTTGACCGTGTTCTTAAAGTTCACGGCAGCTGCCTGCCGCACCTCCATCGGCACAATGTCCAATGTTATGAGCTGCGGGGCAACAGGGCGGGGAGGCGGCGCCCGGAAGCAGGATGGGGGACAAACAAAGGGCAGGCAGCCCAGCGGATCACCCCTAGCAAGAATCGCCCTTGCACCACCGCCAGTTGGCAGCAACCAGCACCCCGCAAGCAGAGGTAGGGGCGGTTGGCAACCGACAGGCGGCGAGGCGGCGGGAGGCGCCGCCAGCAGGCCGGCGGCGGCGGCGGCGTGCCTTGAGCACCATGATGCTGTACCCCGGCTGCTGCGAGGCCTGCTTCAGGAAGGCTTCCGCTTGCTTGATGAGCTCCTGCACAAGGAGGCCAGCAAGAGAGGGGTGTTGTGATCGAAGGGGGACAGCTGCGCCCGGCCGGCGCACCGCAGCAGTCCTGATCGCCCTCGATGTACCTACCGGGTTGGGAGCCAGGGACTGCGTGAAGGCCTCCAGAAGAGGCTGCAGGGTGGCGTCCATCGTTGCCACCAGGCGGCTGCCACCCCTTCCGTCAAACCAGGCACCGCTGCACAGGTGCAAGGCAAATCGCACGAGCGATGGGTGCCGGCCATCCCAGGGGATTGCCAGCGAGGCAGTGCAAAAAGTCGACGACTGCTGTAACCACACGGATCGGCCCTGCCGCCATAGTTCGACCTTCTGTAGCATTCCCACAGTCAAAGAGAGGCGCAGGGGCGAGCAAGGCATGCTGCAGCAGCTTTCAGCCCAGAGTCTGCCCTGCGGCGTGCGCGGTGGTGCCCGGCGAGCTGCGCCAGTCAAACCAATGGCAATATTCGGCCTGAAGCTGGGCGCCAGCTCCGCCCGCGTGGCGGAGGCCAAGCAAGAGGTGCCGCCGCCGCTGCCGCCGCCGCCGCCTGCGGGCTGGCGCCGCGGCCTCGCTGCACTTTCTCGTCGTCCCCAGGACCTGCTTGTGCCAAACAACCTCGGTCTTGTTTCTTGATTACAACCCACCCTTTTGGGGGCTGTTTTCCATTGCAGCTGCTGGAGGCCATTGCGCCCCTCAAGCGCGGCCTCACCGCCACCGATGAGGATCGGCAGCAGGTGGAGCGCCTGGCTAGCAAGCTGGAACGCATGAATCCGACCAAGCGGCCCCTGGCATCCGACCTCATCAACGGTGCGCGCAAGATGGCGGTGCCAATGCCTTGTGGGACGCAGCCAGCGGCGCCACACCCTGTAATGATGTGTTGGTGCCGCGCCTGGTCCCTGGTGCAGGGCAATGGGAGCTGCTGTACACCACCAGCGACTCCATCCTGGGCATGTCCAAGCCCGCCTTCCTGCGCCCCAGCGGCCCCATCTACCAGGTCATCGACGCCAAGGCGCTGACCGCGCGCAACAAGGAGACGGCGCCGCTGTTCAACCAGGTGTCGGCGGAGCTGATCCCCGAGTCGGACAGCAAGGTCAAGGTGCAGTTCAAGGAGTTCAAGATCCTGGGGCTGGTGCCCATCAAGGCGCCGCCGTCTGCGGTGGGCGAGCTGGCGGTGACCTACCTGGACGACGAGCTGCGTGTGTCCAGGGGCAACCGGGGCAACCTGTTTGTTCTCAGGTGATTGGGTGGTGCCGCCAGCCCCGCTGCTCCAGATGCATATGCACCTGGTTTGGCGTGTGTTTTGTGTGTGCATCGTTGTTTACCGCCTGCTGCTCGCTGGTTGGCGCTTGGGTGCAGGATGCAGAACCGCAGCGTCAAGCCATGAAACATGGCACGCCCGCATGCCACAAGTTAAACCCCTATCCAACGACCATGACGCCCATTGGCTGATGCCACACTCCATTGATTTGATTTGCGCTACCATACTAAGCGATGATTTCATTCCACTTTTGCCGCCCATCATATTCTCTGCTGATCCTCCGCTGCTTTCATGCTTGACCTGTTCCGGCTTCTTCTCCCACTGGCACGTTCTAATCAGTAAGAGACCAGTTCACAGACGCTCCAGCAATACCCCCAGGGCATGCTGCTGCTGGGGCTGTTAGCAGTGCGGGATGAAATTGGACGGGGGCTTGCGACAGCCGTGGGTCCGCCCTTCCTGCTGCTCAAAACTTGAACACCTGCTGCTCCGTGTAGCCCATATCCTTGAGGAGGCCGCTCAGCGGGCCCTGGGTCTTGTCGGGCAGCTTGTCTCCGGACACAGCGTTCATGAGGCCCGGCGGACCGCAGACCAGCACCAGCGAGTCGTCGGCGGGCGGCGGCATCAGCTTGGCCAGCAGGTCTTTGGTGATGTAGCCCACGCTGCCGCCCCACGCCTTGTTGTCCGTCTTGTCCACGATGTAGTGGATGTGGAAGTTCTTGTGCCGCTTGGCCAGCCCATCCAGCCGGTCCTGCAGGCAGGGCAGGGTGGATGCGTGGGTGCGTAGCTGTTCCAACACCTATGTCATGCAGTCGTGGCACTGGGTGGCGCGTCTCCTCCTCCTGGAACCAGCCCCCACCTTGGCAATGATGTCTGCCTCCGACACATTGGCAAACAGCATGTTGATCTGCGGGCACAGGTGGAGCAACGAAGCCGGATCTCAGTGTGTCGTCGGAGCGGCAGGTGTGACGAGTGCGGGCGGGCGCCGCACCTCAATCGGCTTGTTCAGCTCGCACAGCTCCTCGGCGACCTGCACGGGGCGTCACACAATACACAATGTGCCGTGTCACTCGATGCGCGCATGTCGCCCTCCCCACCCGGCCCAAACATCCTGTCCATGATGGCTTGGCTGTGGCCGCCGCCCCCAGCTTGCCTGCAGCATGGGCGTGAGCCCGCTGCCGCCCGCAATCAGGCCCAACCGCTTGCGCTTGGACAGCTCCTCCACGCTGATCTTCATGAGGGGCCCCTTGAAGTCCAGCTGGTCCCCCACCTTCAGATGGTCAATGTGCTGGCTCATCTTGCCGCCCGGGTAGACCTGTGGGGGGGGGCAAGGCGCATGGCAGTTTGCAGCAACGCTTTGGGGGAGGCGAGCCGGCTGGGCAGTGGCAGTTGTCCCACCGCTTGGCTGGCTGTCGCGCGTGCTGTTGTGACTCACCTTGATTGCCAGGTCCATGTGTCCTTTGGCATGCCGGGAGATTGGGGTGTACGGCCTACAGAGGCGGGCGCAGGCGGCCAAGAGGATGGTGGGGAAGAGGCAAGGGAAACAGAAGGCGAGGCAGGCACACTGGGCCGTTGAGCGAGCGGTTCATAAAACACAGGTCTCCCTGGGTCATGGCCCCTTCCCCATGAATACCGGAGGACGAAAGCGCGGGAGCCGTCGGGCTTCTCGCTGCCGATGGGCGCCCGCACCAGCAGGCAGGATGCGACTGGCAGCCCCGGCTCGTGGTCCTTGTCTGGCAGCGCAAAGCGGAACAGCACAGTGGGGTTGGCCACACCCTTTGTCAGCGCCTCCTTGTGAACCTGCACCAGAGGGTGCAGAGGAATGAGTTGTGCAATGGAGGCGTGAGCCCTGGGCAGCAAGGAGGGCGTCCTGCGCCTACAGCCATCACGCCGAAATGCCAGCCAGTCCTGCTGTACGCACCAGCTTGAAGCTGCGCCACTCCTCGGGGGAGAGCGCAGAGGCTGCCGCCTTGGCATGCGCCGGCTGCTTGGAGGTCTGTAGGGGCAAGGCGGGCGTGGGCGGTGAGCGGGGGGTGGCGGGCCAGCAGGCACAGGGACGGGCCATGTCTGCTGTTGCTCACCAGCCCCCAGGCAGCTGCTGCGCCACCAGCAGCGACAGCAGCCAGCAGGTTGGGCCGAAAGAGCTGCCGGAAAGCCGCACACATGGCGCTGTCACCGCCAGCAGCACCAGGGCCCTTGGAGCACGGCGATCCTGCCCGTGATCACAATTCTGCAACCGATGGAAATCTCTAGGAGGGTTTGGGTGCTGGCAGGAAAACCTGCCCTCGTGTCATTGCCAGCAGCTGAACGGCACGGCTCCATCCGTTTTCGCCAGCTCTCGCCGGACCTTGCGTCTCAGCAACTTCTGTGTTGATCGCTCCCGGCGCTGTTGACCACTTGTGTTGCCCACCCGCTCAGCCCTCACCCCTTTTCACCGCCTCCCGCCACTTGGAGGCGACTTGGAGCTCATAAGGCGCCCCGCCGCCACCTAGCCCTCGCGCATCCTCTCCATCGCCCGCCCGCCGCCACGCCGTTACGCCGCCGCCAGTGTCTCCCGCCTGGTTTCACTCCTTCTGGCAGTGCAGCATGGCCATCCAGGACATGCGCCTGTGAGTGGCTTTGTGTTAATGTGGCACACCGATGGTAGTGGCAAATAGTTGTCCACTTGTTTGTCGGCACAACACTGAGTGCCTCTTCCTAGCTGGCTGCCTGCAGGCTCGGCGGACTGGCGGCCTCCTTCTTCCTGGGCTTGCTGCTGCAGTTCTTGGTGAGGCAGGCCTGGGGAGGCAGAGGAGGCAGGCAGTCTCGTGTCAGCTTGCTGAGGTGGTTGCTGAGGTGCTAGTTGCCTGTTGTCGCCGCATAAAAACAGACTTCTTTCGCCGCGCAGGGCTGCGCACTGTGGCACAACTGGTGGCCCATGCTGACGGCCTTTGTGTATGTCCTCGTGCCCATGCCTTGGCTGTTCTTTGGCGGTGCCGGATCCGGTGGCAGCAACCTGGCCAGCAGGTGGGAGCGCCGCGCATGCCTGCTGCTGCCTGCTGCCCAAGGCAGGGCCACGTGTTGGGCGAGACATCACCAGGCCGTGTACCGACCTCTCCATGCCTGCCCCCCGCTTGCCCGCCCCGCAGCTGGCAAGATGCGGGCAAGTTCCTGGTCGGCTTCTCGGCGGTAGCGGCGGTGAGCGTGGCGGCGACACGCCCTGCCCTGCCCCCGCCTGCCCTGGATGGCACCCCCATCTGTTCACCTGCTGCCCTTTCCCAATCCGCGGCCTGCAGGTGGCTATCCCCACCATCCTGTACCATGCACAGGTGGGTGCCGCGGCTGGCCCCACTCACCCGATGCTGTTTCCCCTGTTCCCCTGCCCCGCCTGCTCACTCCCTCCTGCCATAGCGCCCCAGCTGTCATCCAGGTCCCCTCCCTCCTGCCTGCCCCTCCGTTGTGCAGAAAATCACGGCGGGGGCGCTGTGGATGGAGCTGGCGGCGATGGCCATCCTGGGGGGCACCGTGCTGGCCTGGCAGTTTTACTCGGAAAACGAGGGCTCCTCGCCCTTCTACTACTGATGGCCCTGGTTCCGACAGGATGCTGCCCTGCCCCGCCCCCCTCATGCTCCTGCGCTCCCGCTCCCTTGCTCGCCCTTGGCTGCCTGTATGCTCGCACCCGACTTGCTCTTGTTTTTTTTCCCGCCGTGCACAACCACTACAAGCCAAGTGTGATGCAATGCCAGCAGCAGCTGCCGTGGGGGCGGCATGCGCTCATGCAGCCCGGTGCGTAGGGCTGGGCTGGCCACCCCTCACTTGGCTCCCCTGCCGCCGGCTGCCAGGATTGCCACCGCCGCGGCCGCGGCGTCTGCGCTGGCACCCTGCGACGCCTGCCCCGACCCCGCAGGCTCCTTGCCGGAGCGGTGCGCCGGCGCCTTGAGCCGGCTGACCAGCGTGCCGCCGCCGCGCTTCCTGGGCTTCGGCCCCGGCGCCGGCATGCCTGCCAGCTGGCGCAGGTTGGCAAAGCTGGTGGGCCCCGCCTCCTCGCCGCCAGACCCAGCCTCCCCAGCAGTGACTCCCTGCAGGGGGCAATACATACCAGTGGCAGCGCTGGTGCCAGTGTGGCTGCCGAGGCATGCACAGCAGTGGCATGCGTGGCAGGCATGCACAGCAGGCGCGCGCCCCACGATGGCAGCGGCACATCCCCCACCACGCTGCCCACCTTGTCCGCCGGCATGGCGCTGTTGCTGTCGTCCCGCCCAAACACATAGGAGCGGCCGCCGCCGCCCATGCCGCTGCTGCTGGCCACGCGCTGCACGGTGGGCTGGCGCCCCACAAACGACGGCCCACGCGACAGGCTGCTGGCGCCGCCGCCGCCTCCGCCACCTGGCAGCCGGTTGTTGGTTGGGTCGGAGCCCAGGCTGACCAGGGCTGCGGGCGCGCCCGGCGGCGCAAAGCGCGAGCGCGGCAGCGGGCCGCTGCCGCCGCTGGCCCCCAGCTGCGGCTCCGAGGCGCAGCTGCGTGCCAGCAGGCCCAGCACCTCCTGGCTGCCCTCGTCCAGCGGGATGCCGCCGCCGCCGCCCAGGCCGCCGCCGCCGCCGTCGCCGCCATCCAGCTCCATGCCTTGCGACTCCGCCAGCAGCATCCCCTGCTTGGCCTTGCGCAGCAGATCCTCGTCCTCCGCCTCCTCGTCGCTGCCGGCGGCAGCACCAAAGGGCGAGGGCCAGGGCAGCGCGGCGCCGCCGCCCTCCTTGTCCTCGCCGTCGCCTGCGCGCGCCCGCCGCCGCCGCCCCGCCAGCTCATCCTCCTGTAGGCCGGGCCGGGCAGGGCCAGGCAGATAAGGACAGCAGCACCGGTGGGTTAGCTGGCTGATGAAGGAGCGGCACAGATGACGGGCGCGAGCCAGCAGGCGGCTGGGCAGAGGCAGCGGGCGGGCACAGAATGCAGGGGGGGCGTGCGTGCCGAGGGCAGGGCGGGCCCGGGCCGCACACCACCACCGCCATGCCGCCACGCCCTGCTCACGTCATCGTCCAGGAAGCCGGCGCCTCGCCGCCGCCTGAACCCGTTCTTGAGGCCGCGCATGACCTGCTGCAGCTCCTTGTCGTCCTGCTGCTCGGCCCACTGGCGGTGCAGCAGGGCGCGCAGCTTGAGGTCCTTGGACGTCTCCTTGGACTGCCCAATCAGGCCGGCCTGCAGGGCGCGAGCGCGGGGCGAGGCGCGCGGGGGAGGTCAGCCACCGATGATGTGCTGACGGTTGGCCTGTGCTGCCCAGCCTACAGCCCATCCGATCCGCACCCCCTGATGGACAACCCTCTCACCAGCTCCCCCTGGTCATCCACATCCTCATCCTCATCCTCGCTGCCGGGAGCGGCACCCTCCTCATCGCTGCACACGCCACGCAAGCAGGCAGGCGTGGTGCTGGGGCGGTGTGGCAAGCGGCAGCAGCGCAGTCTCTGCGGGCCTGCAGTGCTAGGCTGCAGTGTACAGGCGCCCGGCACGCACCTGAGCTCCGCCTCCATGTCCAGAAACATGCGCTGCAGCTTGTTGTTGCGCTTGGGCACCACCACCGCTGGTGCGTCGCCACCAGAGGCGCTGCTGGGCTTGGCTGCAGGGAAGACAGGCAGGCGGGCAGGATTGGTGGCAAACCGTGTCGGCAACATGGCCAGGCGGTGCTAGTACGGCTGACGAGCAAACGAAAACTGTGCTGGGCTGCATGCAAGCCCAGGGCAGCAGCGGGCAGGCCTCACCTGCCTCCTCGCCATCCTCCACCTCTGCCTCGCCCTGCTGAGCCCCGTCGGCGGGCGGTGAGGCACCCGCCTGCCGCTGGCAACCACCTTCACTTGGGCCTGCTGTCTGCTGCGATGGCGAGGCGTGTGCAGGCTCTGCAGGGCTGCCGTCAGCTGCCTCGCCCTCCTTCCTCGCGTCTGACCCAGTGGGCGACGGAGGACCCCCCGCCTCCTCGCTGCCCTCCTCCTCCTCCTCCTCGCTGTCGCTGCTGTCCCCGCCAGCGCTGCTGCCGCCCTCCTTGTCTCCCTCAAAGTCTTCCTCGCTGTCGTATCCGTCGTCTATGAGCACATCCTCAAATGCATCCTCCTGCAGGCAGCAGGGCAGGGCGCAGATGCCAGGCGATCAATGTGCGCCAGCAGGTGACCTGGGCAGCACACGCCCCCGTGTCGGGCCAGCAGCCCGCGTGAATGCTGGCCTGCAGACAGCGCCGCTGCCGCCCCCCGTGCGCCCCACCTGGGTGCGGATGAAGGGCATGCGGTTGGCCTTCTTGGTGGTGCTGGGCAGCTCCACCAGCCGCACGTCGCCGCCCCCACCCCCCTCCTCATCCGAGCTCATGATCAGCAGATCGTCGCCATCGCAGCTGCCATCCTCCTCCCCTGCCGCCTGCTCCTCTTCCGCGCCAGCGCCAGCCGCCGCTGCCGCCTGCTCGCCCGCAGCCGCGCCCTGCTGCTCGCCACCCGCCCCCTGCTCGCCATCTGGCGCGCAACCCGCCGGCTCGGCGGCTGCCGGCGGCGCCGCCTGCTGGCGGGCCTGCGCCAGGATGTCCTCAAAGCTGCCCACATCCGGCATGGCAGGCTTTGGGGCTCTGCAGGCATGGCAGGCGGCCCAGCTTAGCCGCAGCAACAGCCAAGCCAGCCACTTGGTCGTGCAGGACAGCAGACGCATGCTGTGACACCAAACCAAAGCACGCGGCGACCCGCTGCCGCCCACCTGGCAATGGCCAGCGCCTGGCGCTGCTTGATGCGGTCCAGGATGCTGCTCAGCGGCTTGATCTCAATCTTGTGCCCCTTGCCCAGCCTGTCGCGCGCCGCGGTCTCTGCATGGGTGCAAGGAAAGAATGGCCGGCCCTTGGTGCATGAGGCACACCCTCAGCAAGCCGACCGAAAGGGTGCCGGCAGTGCCTGGGAAGCGTGCAGCACCAGGCAGCCAGCCGCACCTCGCAGGATGCGCTGCGTGTCGGCGGCCAGCAGCTCCATGGTGCCGGGGGAGCCGCCGGGGGAGGCTGAGCCGCCGCTGGCACCCGACACCTCCGCCTCGCTGTCGCCGCCGCCTCTCCCGCCCTCCTCCTCGTCTGCAGGCAGACAATTTGTAGCAGTTCAACCACGGGATGCCTCCCACCACCACCTGTTGCGCCTCTGCTGCTGTGCTGCTGGCACCCGGTCAAATGCCATCAGCGCCCACCTCCCGAGTCGTCCGCCGAGGCTGCCGGCGCCGGCTGCGTGCGGCGCACATACTGCTGCTCCAGCTCGTCCTCCTCATCAAAGTAATCCCCCTCCTGCAGACAAACCACAGGGGTGAAGGACCACCAATCACAGCAGGACGCAGGTCAGGCTGCAGGGCAGGCGAGCGGCGGCCGCAAGCCGTGCCTGGTGGCTGGGCGAGGGCGGCGCCTCCTCTTCCTCCTGCTGCTCCCGGGCGGGGCTGCCGGGCTCCTGATCACTTCCATCGTCACCCTTCTCCCCCTCCTGCTCGCTGGCAGCGGGCTGGGCCGGGCTGGCGGGGGCTGCGTTTGCGTTGGGCTGCGCGTTCTCGGCCGCCTCCCGAGCCTTGCGCAGCCTTCCAAGCTTGCGTGGGCCCTGAGTCACCTCCTCCCCCTGCGGGGCGAAAGGCAGCGAAGCCACCGAGTCCTCCAGGTCCTCCATGCTGTTCAAGCTGCTGCCAGCTGCATCCACCGATGCCAGAAGAGGCGCCGAAAAAGCTGTGGTGAGGGCTGCAGTGCGTGATTTTGAAAATCGGCCGCAGCAGCAGGGCTGCTGTTTGGGTGGGGGCGGTACACCCGCCCATGTCCTTCGGGCGGCAACAGCCCAGTCCAAGCCCAGGCACCTTATGCTCAATTTGCAGGCATTTTATTCTTACAAGCTGCGTTGAAAGGGTGCCTGGCTTTACAATGCAGACGTGTGTACACAGAACGGGGCTCGCCAGCACGTGCCTCAGGCTGCCGCCGGTTCACGTGGCATCTCGCCAGGGCGGGCCCTGCCCGCCACCCTGTACACTGCGTCCATGCCGCTGCTCGACATGTTCCCGCCGCATGCTATGATGACGCAATGCCGTCCATGCATCTGCGGCGCCAGCTTTTGGAATGCTGCCACCGCAACACCCGTGGCGCCTGCGAGCAGGGAGCGGAATGCATGCCCCATCCCTCAGCACAGCACAACGGTAGAGCAGAACAGGCTGGCGCTGCTCAAACACATCATGCCAGCTTGACCGTCCAATTCACCCGCTGGGCAGCATCCACAGATTGCCCTCGGCGTACCTTCCACCTGCATGCCGCTATGAGTGACCGTGTCGATCACAGCGTTGGCTATCTCCCTCTCCGACACCACCACCCACTCTGCAAGCAGCAGGAGCGACCCTGACTCAGCCAGCATGCACCCGCGATGCCTGATTTGCCGGGCACTTCCATTGGGCAAACAGGACAGAACACAGGACAGCACGCAGGCCCACACGCCGGCCGGCAGGCAGGCAGCGCCGCACCATCCACAAAGCGGCTGCACGGCTCCAGCGTGATGGCACCGGCCTCCAGGCCGCCCACCGTGCCCTCAGACAGCGTGGGCCGCCAGTCGGCCTCCACCACCCGACCAGCCGCCACCGACTGCCGCATCACGTCGCTGGCTGCGGGCTGGCAGCCCACCACGCGGATGGCAGGGTCGGCTGCCTTGAGCACGCTCGCGATGCCGGCCGCCAGGCCGCCACCCCCCACCGGCACAAACACTGCGGCCAGGGTTGTGATGGCACAGTTGGGTTGGCAGCGGCAGAGGCAGGGTGTGGGAGGAGGAGAGCTTCTGAGCTTTTGCACACGCTTGCTACCAAGGTTCTGAACACGCTTTGCGACCGAGAACAGAGCCCCAGGCAGCCAGCTGCCCCCGCCCACCTGTGTCCAGCCGGCCCCGCGGCAACTGCTCCAGCAGCTCGACTGCGATACTGCCCTGCCCGCCCGCCACCTGGACGTCGTTGTAGGGGCTGACGTAGGTGGCGCGCTCTGCCGCCGCGTCCCGCCGCGCCTGTGCCTCCGCCTCCACACAGTCGTCTCCCACCGTCACCAGGGTAGCCCCCAGCTCGTGCAGCCGCTCCACCTTGGCTGCGCTGACTGTCCGGGGCAGGTAGATGCGGACGGGGACGGGGATGCCGCCGCGCTGCGCCGAGGCAGACTTGGCGGCGGCCAGCACGGCGAGCGCGTGGTTGCCCGTGCTGGCCGCCACCACGCCCCGCTGCAGCTCCTCGTCGGTCAGGCTGAACAGCTTGTGGGCTGCGCCGCGCGCCTTGAACGAGCCTGTGGCCTGGCGCGTCTCGCACTTGAGGTGCACCGTGCTTTCGTCTGCCAGGTCGGCCAGCCATGGCGCTGCCAGCAGTGGCGTTTCAAAGCAGATGGAGTAGATGGTGTGGATGGAGGTCCAGGCCTCGCGTGCGATGGGGTGCAGGCCCTGCAGGCCCAGCAGCAGCGAGCACACAGTTGTGCAGTGCAGCAGCGGCGCTGGCAGCGGCCGTTTGCAGAAGCGGGCTGGCACACCGCCCGCCCGCTTGCCGCCGCTGCCGCCGCCGCACCTTGAGATCTTCTCGTGGGGCCTTCCACCCTGCTTGCTTGACTCGGCTCTGGAATAGAATCCTAGTCTCGGCGCTGGCAGTCACCCTAAGCGCTGGCCTGCAGCCTGTGGCGGAGGTGCGGATGGGTGTCACCCGCATGGCGACGCCCTCTGCTTCCCGAAACCCTGCCCACCACGATCTTCAAATTTCTCGAACGATCAAGAGCGTTCGTGTGTCTTCGTGCAACCGCCACGTTGGCGGCGATCTCGAAATATCCAGAAAGCCCTACTCCGCACCCTATTTGTATCGGTCCCCCTGCAGCGCCACTTTATTCTCGAGCCTCCACCCCTGCCGACACCACCCAACCCCGCACCAACATGGCTGTCTGCTCTCTCGGCTCTGCGCTTCGCGCAGCCCCCCTGGTCGCCCACCAGAGGCGCACCGCTCTCGCCGCCGTGCCCGCAGCCCGCCGCACTCTGGCCGTGCGCGCACAGAAGGAGGAGTCCAAGGACGTGGCGGCGCCGGCGCAGCAGCAGCAGCAGGAGCGCGCCGTCGGCCCCGCCCGCTCCTCCGGCTACGGCACCCTGGACACCCTGACTCCTAGCTGGGGCCGCATGAACCAGGTGGGTGTGCTGCTAGCTGCCGAGGCCCTGGGTGCCTGCACCTCGCAGCCGCCGTGCCTGGCGCCGGCCATCCCGCTCCGTGCATAGGTGGTGCCGGAACCTGCCAAAGAGACACTCCAGAGAGACACTCCACCCTCACCCTGCTCATGCCCCCTCCCTTGTGCCCTTTGCCGGGCCCGCAGATGTTCCACGAGATGGAGCGCGAGATGAACCAGCTGTCGCGCGCCTTTGGCATGCCCTCCCTGGGCATGCCCTCCCTGGGCATGCCCTCCCTCTTCACCGACCTGCCCAGCATCGCCGCCGCCGCAGACATGCCCGCCACCTCGGCCGCCAGGGCGCTGGCCATGGACATCAAGGACACCGACAGCGAGCTGCAGATCACCGCAGACGTGCCCGGCCTCACCAAGGACGACATCAAAGTGCAGGTGGGGGCTGTTGGGGTGAACTGCGCTCGGCAGTCGACCCAGCGCGATGCCCACACGCTCTCACATGCTATCCTCCCGTCCCTTCCCTGCCACCCCCGCGTGCAGGTCTCCCCTGACCGCGTGCTGTCCATCAGCGGGGAGAGGCGCAGCGAGCACAAGGAGGGCAGCAAGGAGGCGGGCAACCTGCGCATCGAGAGGTCCTACGGCTCTTTCCTGCGCCGCTTCCGCCTGCCCGAGAACGTGGATGTCGAGGGTGCGCCTGCCCCTGCTGCCTGATGCGCCAACTCAACAAGCTTTGCCTGCCACGCTGGTTGCTGACACAGCAACCTGCAGCCATGTGGCCCAGCGCCTGGTGCCTGCCGCACATGCCGCACCCCGTGCAGCACCTGACGCGTGCCTCGCTGCCTCCTGAAACTGCCCGCCCTGCAGGCATCAAGGCCAACACCAAGGATGGCGTGCTGCGCCTGACGGTGCCCAAGACCGAGGCGGCCAAGCCCAAGCAGATTGACATCCAGGTGTCCGAGTGAGCCAGCAGGGAGAGGGCCGGTGCCCACTCCCCAGCCTCTGCCGCACGAGGATCAGCCGTTGAACCACCGCTGCCGCCTTTTTGAACGAACGCATCCATCAAGTATGATACATATGTGCACGCCAGCATGTTGTGCGCCACACCCTGATTTTTGGCAGCACACCCATTTCATACGTACTAGCGCGCCCCTACTGTTGATGCCCTTTGCTACACATGGCGCACGCTGCCCCGTGCCCCTCTGCTCTTGTTGGCAGGGGCAAGATTAGGCGTTGTTGCTGCCACTGTTTGCCTGGTTGATGCCCAGATGCGCATACCACTGTATCTGCCTGCTTCCTTGAGCACTTTGTAAGCGAGCAGTATCACGCGATGAACGTATGTCCAGGTGCAATGTCAAGCAGGAGCGCAGACAAAGCGGTTCAACTGGCCCTCCACCTGCCGCGTGCCGGGCCCCTCCTACTGCTGTGGTGCCATCCCCGCCACGGGGGCAGCCCCCGGCCCCGAGTCTGGCGCCGCCGCTGCCGCGCCGGCGGGCGGCTGCCTGGCGGGCGGCGGCGGTATGCCTGCGGCCAGGTTGTTGGCCACCTCCTGCGCGTAGTCGTCAATGAACTTGCCCCGCATCGCCTCCAGCGACAGGCGCTCAGAGGCCATCACGCTGTCCAGCTCCTCAAGGTACTGCGGCGGGACAGGTGGGGGTTGGGGAGGGGGAGGAGGGTGGGGTGGCGGTGGGGGACTGGTACGCGACGTGGGGAGGGGGTGAGAACGCAATGTGATGGGGTGCGGGTGGGATGGGCGGCCAGGGGCGCGCGACGGGAGCGGAGGATCCGACGGTTGGTGGCGGGCGAGCAGCTGGGGCCACCGCCCCAGCGATGCGGCCCTCGCCCGTGGCCCCCACCTGCAGCTTGGCGTGCACTTTCTTGAACTGGCTCTCCACCGCCGCCAGCACCAGGCGCTGCACCTCCCGCTCCTCCTGGTCAGCCAGCAGCTTGGCCTGCACAGCCGCGGCGGCCAGGCCCGTGGCCGCAGCCAGGCGCACGCGCGCCGCGGGCAGGGGCTGAAGGGCGGCGGAGGGGGGCAGGGCGACAGCCGCGGTGTGAGTGGGGTGCTCGCCAGGCACTGCTTGGTGGACCAGCTCGGCCGGCAGCCTGCACTGGACCAGCCCCCAGGCCACGCATGACTTGCCAGCACCACCCCCGTCGGCTCACCCCATCCTGCCCGTTGCTGCCGCCATTGGCGCCTTCCCTCTTGGACTGCCCGCCGCCCGCCTGGGGCACGGCCACGCCGCCGTCGCCCGTCAGCGCCAGGTCAGCCGCCACCGCCGCCGCCGCCGCCGCATCCTCCTCCGCAAGCACCTCCAGCGCTCGCTGCGCCGCCGCCGAGGCGATCTTGGGGCCCACCATGGCGGCCAGGAAGGAGACCTGCGGGGCGCATGGCGGGGCGGGGCAGGCGGCACCACGTCAGCAGCCGGCGCGGGCATGCATGACTGCCAGTGGAAATTCAGACCGCTGCTCCGCTGGGCTGCCAGGCACAGTGCCTGCGTGCACCCGGCCGCTGGCCGGTGCCGCAGCCAGCCGCTGGCCGGGGGTCCCACCTGCGCCAGCACAGGGTTGCCCACTTCGCCAAAGGGAATCACATCCTCCAGCACACTCGCCGCCGCGGCCAGCCCGCTGTCCTGGCCGGGCGGTGGGATGGCCACCTGCAGGAAAGGAGGGCCACACAGTGGGGAAGAAAGAAGAAGGTGGGTGGAGGGCCTCCTCACGTCAACCTGCTGAGCACGCAGTCTCCCCAGGGCGCGACGCGCGGCATGGCGCTCCCCTGCCCTGCCTCCCGCCCCACGCCCATGCGGCACCACCCACCAGCCCCAGGGTGTGCGGTCCAGGCGTGGCATCAGCCACCAGCGCCTCCTCTGTGGGCAACTGCAGGAAGCGCGCCACGCACTGCATCGCGCTCCTGCCGCCCACATGCTCCGCCACCTGCTGCCACGACTCGCCGTACCGCTCGATGCCTGCACAGCCAGGGGAGGGAGGGGCGGGGGCAGACCAGCGTCAGCGGCGCGGGCAGGCAGGCCCAGCGCGGCCACAGAAGCGGGCGCCGGGCGAGGCAGCAGGCGGTGGATCCGTGGCGATGCGGATGCGAGGCAGCCACACATGGCCTTGCCCCTGGGCCCACATATTGGTGCGTCCCGCTGCGGCCCCCCGCCACAGCCCCCCACCTTCCAGCAGCAGCAGCGTCTCCTGGTCGGTCCACCCCGAGTCGTCGGGCACCGCATCCGCCGCCGCCAGCCGGATGAAGTCCTTGACGCTCATGCCCGCAGGGAACTTGCCCTCTGCAGGCGGGGCCGTGGAGGGAGGGGGTGCAATGTACGGGGCGGGGTGGGCAGAGGAGACGGTGGGGCAGCGAGGCAGCGGGCTCAGGCGGCTGAAAGGTGCGGCGGGGAGGGGGAGGGGGCGCCGCCGCCCACCCTTGAAGCACTTGGGGCACAGGTCCAGGTCCGGCTTCTTGAGGCAGTGGTGGCGCAGCTGGGTGCACAGCGTGCCGCAGTCGGCGCCGCGGCAGTAGAACTCGGCCTGCCGGGTGGAAGCCGAGAGGGAGGGGTGGGGCGAGAGCAAAGCGTGCAGCGGCAGCAGCAGCAGCAGCAGCACGCAGCTTGCTGTGAAAGGCAAGGTGGCGCCCCTCCTGCCAGCTGCCCCGCGGCGCACCTTGGTGGCCAGCGCCGGCTGGCGGGCCCAGTTGCCAAACATGGTGCCGCGCACGCGCACGCTGGGCCCCCCCACGTTGCCCGTCAGCGCCGCCATGGCGCCCGCCTCCACCGCCACGCGCTTGGAGGGGCCATACAGCGCCTCGGAGCCCGAAACCGCCAGCCCCACCACCGCTGCGCACAGGGCGGCGGGCAAAGTGACACGTCGGCAGCGTGCAGGGCCACCGCAGCAGCCAGGGCCCTCGCCAAACCCGCCGCGCATGTATCCAAGCGGCGACACATCCGCCTGGGGTGCCCCCACCCCGCGCTGCCTGCCCCCTGCTTGCGTTCAGGCAGGGCGGCTGGCCTGCTCCTCACCCGCGTCCTGCTGCGTCCGCTTTGCCCCGCCCGCGGGCGGCGTCACGCGGCGTGCCAGGTAGTTGATGACCTGCCAGGAGGAAAGGAACTTCCAGATGCGGCGCAGCAGGTTGACGTCTCCCACCAGCGCGCGCCGCGCCTCGGTGAAGCTCAGCTCGCGGCTGGTGTCCTCCCTGCGGAGCAGGCGGGGGCGCGGCGCATGCCGCTGGGGCTGTTCGGTTGCTGGGCTGTTGCTTGGTTTGGAGACAAGCGGCCAAGGCCAGCAGCCAGGGACACGCAGGCAGGGATGGCTGGGGCTGAGAGGTGGAAATGCTGAGCTGCACCCCTGCTGCTGTGTAGGCAAGCCCAGGCGCAGGACGCAGCGCACCTGTACTTGTTGATGATGGCGTTACGGTACTGCCTGTACCGCTCCGGGTTCGCCCCATCCTGCCCCAGGAAGTCCTTGAAGTGAGCCTCCTCCACCTCGGCGATGGCGTCCCAGCGGAACCAGGCGGCGCAGGCGGGCACCAGGTATGGCTCCAGCCCCTCCCGCTGCGCCTCCCGCTGCTGCGGGCCGTCCGCGCCGTGCTGCTGCCGCGCCGCTTCCCCGGCACCCGGCTGCTGCTGCTGCTGCTCCCGCTGCAGGCGCGCCAGCAGCGCTGGCGCCGCCTGCACCGCCGGTTCGGGCATCAGCACGCCCTCCGGCCGCTGGCCCTGCACCAGGCAGGCGGCGACTCGCGAGTGAGCACAGGGCCTGCCCCAGGCTTGGCAGGCGCGCTGAGCGATGCACGCCCGCTCCTGCCAGACCCGCAGCCGCTGCGCCGCCTCCTCAGCAAGCGCACTGCAGGCTCCCGCGCAAAGCATGAGACAGCACAGCGGCAGCAGGCAGCCGCTCGTGCCTGCGAGATGTCTACTGCCGTGGCGGCATCCATGGCCTTGCGGTTGGGCTGCAGCACGCGCTGCCTGGTCACGCCCTCCGCAACCGCCTCCCCGGCGCCCGCCTGAATCTCGGGCAGCGGCCCCGCCTGCCTCGCAGCCTTGGCCTGCACAACAGACGACAGGCGCGCAGGGCGACAGCGGCAGGGCGACAGCGGCGTTCAGGACAGCGGGGGCTGGGCTGCCAGGCAGGGCCCCTGCACAGCCAGATCAGCTGCTGCACACCCGCCAGCACCACCAGCCACACACCCACCAGCCAGCGGCGCCACCAGCCGCGCACCCCGCGCCCACCTTGCGCCCCGCATCCTCTCCCTCCTCCCCCGCCTCGCGCTTGCGCTTGGCCTCCTCTGCCGCCTGAGGCGTCTCGTAGTCGCCCGGGTTCATCCACTCATTGTACCTCTCACTGTCGGTCAGCCAGCGGGCATACACGTGCCAGGGCCCGCGCGGCGGGCGGCGCGGAGGCTCTGCCGCCCCGGGTGCCGCCGCCGCCGGCACCCACTCGTCATAAGAGTCGGGCATGAAGAGCCAGTGCAGGCGGGCGCTGCCGCCCTTGACCTGGCAGGAAGGGACAGGGACAGGGCGAGGCGGGTAAGAGGCAGCCGCGGCGGCGGGGATGGAAGAGGGGGCCTGCCTGCAGCTTGCACCGCGAGGGCGCGTCATCCCCGTGCCTCCCGCCTTCACCCACTGCCTGCCTGCCCCACCCCGCACCCCCCACACACCGCCGGTGGCTCCCACCTCCAGTGTGCGAGCATATCGCTGGCCGTCGTCGGGGTCGCTGCCCTCGCCTGAGGGGTAGAGCACGTGCGTGGTGCTGCCGCCCTCCGACTGAGACACCTCGGCCTTGAGGTTGCGCGCCAACTCCTGCAGCTTGGGCACCGCCGCGCCGCACGACGGGTGCACATACACGTGCGGCGTGCGCACGTACCCCGACCGCAGCAGCTCGGCGCGGATGCGCCCAAACAGCTCCACATACTGCGGCAGGGTGGCGCAGGCGGAGGGAGGCGACGCGGCTCGGCAAGGGATGGGGCAGGAGGGGGCGGGGCAGCGCAGCATGCAGGGAGGCGGGAGCAGTAGTCGCCACCCAGCAATTGCGCAGAGGTCTGCCCCAGGCTGCGGCACCAAGGTGCACGGCGTGCAGCAGCCGCGCGCCTGGTTGCGCAGGTTCGGCGCCTGCCAGTCGATGCGCTTCATGTTCTTCGCTGTCATGAAGTCGGCGCAGGCAGCGGCGATGATGGACAGCGGACCGTCTGCCGAGTAGTCGCGCAGCAGGTGGGCCGGCAGGCGCATGAATTGCTTGTACAGCGCCTGCAGCGACGTAGGCAAGAGAGGAGTGCTGGGCGGCAACAATTGGCGGCGGGGCGGCTTCGGCACTGGACGGAAGGCGAGCTTGCAGGGGGGCCCACCCCGCGCTCACGTTCACTCCCAGCGCGTCCTCCATGAACTGCTGCAGCCCGGCCAGCAGCTGCGCAAGGCCCTTGCGGTCGAACTTGGGCCCGCTGCTGCGCTCGTTCAGGCGCTGCACCAGAGGTTCCAGCTGCTTCAGATTGTCCTCCGACTGCAGGTGAAGCACCAGAGGGCGTGTTGGAAGCGGCTTGGGCAGTGTACCATTCGGCGGTGCGCCAAAACGCCCCCACAACCCTCACCAGCGCATAATCGAGCTGAACGTTGCCGTTCCTTTTCCCGATCGCCACCACTGGCGCGGTAGGCCCATGCTGCTGAGCCATCGTAACCCGATGGCCGGCCAGGCCCCGCTGCCAGCGTTCTGTGCACTCCCTTCAGTGGGCAAGCGCTTCGGCCTTTGAAATCGTTTGCTCCAAATTAGTGCTGACTGGGCATGAACTGCCATGTCTCGGGGACCGAGGTCCGCCTCTGGAGACTGTATTCTTCTCGAATTCATCGACCCTGACCCGCGGCGAGGTCCCGGATGAGTGTCAGCAGTGTTCTAGGAGCCTTGAGGGGCGACGCGCTGCTGACCGCCTGGGCGGTCGCCGGGCTCGCCACACCTCTGGTGTATGTCAGTGGAGTGGCAATATGCACTCCTGCGCCCGCGGCATCGGCTCCTGCGCCCGCTGCAGCTTCCTCCCGCCGCCGCCGCCACGCCGGTTTAGACTTCATACTGGCGGGCGGGCCGCGCCACCTGGTGCTCCAGGCGCTGTCCTTTGTGAGTGGCTGACGGATACCTGCCTGAAGGTTACTCTGGGCCGCCTTTCGTCCCATTTTGCTGAGTGCTGCTGCCGCCAGCTGCCCGCCGCACCGGCGGTCGCCAGCTCAGCCAGGTTCCGCTCGCTGGCGCTGCCCCGCCCCGCAGGCGCTATGGCTGTGCGCTGTCCTGGTGGCCGTGCCGCTGCTGCTGGCGCGCTGGCACCATGCCCCGCTGCAGCCGGCTTTCCTGGACCTGCTGTCTGCGGCGGTTGCGCTGGGCGCCTACTGCGCGCTGCTGTTCCAGCTCAAGGCGCTGCTAGTGTTTGACCCGTCGGAGCCGCCGCCGCGCCTGCTGGGCCGTGCCCTGCGCGCCGGCGCCAGCGGCCTGTGCTGGGACGTCAGCCGGCTGCCCTCGCGCACCGCCCGCGCCTACATCGCCACCGGCATTGGCATGCTGTGGATCGGGCTGGGCGGCGCGCTGCTGCTGGCCACAGAGTTCCTCACAGACCGCCTGTCGCTGTCTGTGTACTACGCCCTGGCAGCATCCTGCATCACCTGTGGCGCCTTCACCACGCACGGCCTGGCCGGCTTCCTGAGGCACAGCGGGCCCCGCGGCGGTGGCGGCGGCGGCGATGCCGGCGGCGCCGCCGCTGCCAGCTCGCCTTGGCACTTCTGGCAGCCCTTCCAAGGCGGCTCGGCCTTTGTGCTGGCGCAGGTGCGTGGGAGCGAGGGCTAGTGCAGGCATGTTGTGTGCCAGCCGCTGCAGCGGCGGGGGTGAATAAGATGCCAATCTGCAGCTTGTTTTGATGCCTGCCATTCCCATTCGCGGCTGTGCCGCAGGCGCTGGGGTGGGCCCTCTACTCGTCGGCGCTGGTGGCAATCATCTACCTGCTGTGGCAGGCGGTGGCGGGGGTGGCCTACTGGTGAGCAGCGGGGCTGGCGAGGCAGCTCCCAGATGCATGCACGCTCCGGCATGCACGCTCTTGCTCGTGCTGCTGCGGCCTGAGCTGGCGAGCCCGCCTGCTGCCCCCTGCCGCAGCGTGAGGTGCTGGGCGGTGGCGGCGGGGGCGGTCATGTTCACGTCAGAGCTGCTGCTGGCGGCGTCGCTGCTGACTTACCGCGGGCAGAGCGTGATGAAGGCGGCGCAGCACATGGCGCCCCCCTCCCTCACCAGGGCCGGCCTGCGCGAGCGCCTCCTCAACACTCTCGTCATCGCCATGCTCTATGTGCCGGTGTGTGGCTGTGGCTAGTGCGACCGCATCGCCGCGGCTGCTGCCCGAGCTGCAGGGACCAGCCGGTGCCCGCTGGCGAGCATGCTGTGCTCCCACCTGTGCCCACACCAGCCCCGACCCGGCTCTCTGCCCCTCCCCTCCCCCACAGATGCACATCTTCTGCTCCGTGGTGGCCCTCACCTTCATGGCGCTGCCGCCCGCTCACGCTGCCGCGCTGTGGGGTGGCGGCCTGTTTGTCTACTACAGCGTCACGGCCTTTGGGCAGCCGGAGCACACGGGGCGGCGGGAGTGGCCCGCCATGCAGGCGTGGCTGGGCCAGCAGCTGGAGCGCTTCCTCCCCGCCTGGCTCGGTGAGCGCGGCGGGCAGATCGCGTCTGTGTGGCGTGCCCCAGCTGGCTAGCCCCAGCGCCTGGCCCCTCGCGGCACACCTGTCTGTCCTGCACCTTCAGACCGACCTGATGCGGATGGTCCCCCCCCCGGCTCCACGCCTCGCTGCAGGCTCGTTTGAGGTGGTGCTGGATGGCGGCAAGGACACGGCGCAGCAGTTTGACCCGCAGCGGCGCTATGTGTTTGGCTTTGTGCACCACGGCCTGTACCCGCTGGGTGAGGCAGGGCGGCAGAAGCCTGGCTGGGTGGCTGGCTGGCGGCGCCTTGAACGCCTTCGCTGCTTGCCGCCTGCGTTGAGGCGCTCGCTTCACGCGGCGCCATGCTCCCTGCCCACGCCTGGCGCAGGCGCCGGCTACATCCCGCTGATGCCCTCCTTCCGCCGCCTCGTCCCCGTGCGCCCCGTCACCCTCACCGCCTCGGTGTGCGTGGCGGTCCCGCTGCTGCGCGACATTGTGCTGTGGCTGGGGGCGCGCATCGTGTCGCGGCGCACGTTTGAGCACACGCTGCGCGAGCGGCGCGCCGTGCTCATCTGCCCCGGCGGGCAGGCCGAGATGTGCCTCACCAACAGGCTGCACAGGCACAAGGAGTACACAGTCTACACGGGGCACAAAGGTGTGGGTGGGCATGTGTGCGAGTTTGGGTTTGGGTGCCTGCCGTGTGCTGGCTGCCTGGCCGGGGCCAAGACATCGGTGAGTGTCTTTGGGGCCGGGGCTGGCCTGTGCTTCTGCATCCAGCGGTCGTCCCCAACCCAGCCGCGTCTGCTGCCGCCGCTGCGCTGCTGCGCAGGGTTTGTGCGCATCGCGCTGCAGCAGGGCGCTGCCCTGGTGCCCATGCTGGTGCTGGGGGAGGCGGACAGCCTGCACAACCTGATTGAGTGGCCCTCGCTGCAGCGCTGGTGCACCAGGAAGCTGGGGTGAGCGGCGGCGCCTCATGGGCTGGCGTGCCCGAGAGTGGCCACGCTGTCGGACGCTCTGGCAAGGGCAGCCGCCCTTTGCGCCTGACTGGTGAACCCCGTGCATCGACCTGCCCGATCGCCCCACTCTGCCTGCAGCTTCCCCATCCCATTTGTCATCGCGGGCCGCTGGTGCCTGCCACTGCCGGCCCCCACGCACCTCAAGTGAGCCCCCCGATGCACTTGCCGCTGGTGCAGCCCAGCCACGCTGGTGTGCTTGCCTGCCCTGCCTGGCTGCTGTGCAGGGCATGTGCATGCTGCACATCACGATCCGCCACCCCTGCTGCTTCCGCAGATTTGTGGTGGGCCAGCCCATTGAGGCGCCCAAGCTGGAGCGCGAGGGCGAGCCCAGCCAGGCGGAGGTGGATGCCACGCATGCCCGCTTCTATGCCGCCGTGGAGCAGCTGTGGGCCACGCACGCCGACACCTTCCCCGGCTACCAGGGCGTGAAGCTGCGCTTGGTCAGGTAGAGGAGGCCACAGGGACCAGCGATGTGACGATGCCGGGTGCTGCGGGGTGGCTTTCGATGCGCCTTCAGGACTGGGCCGTGCCATAGCCAGGCAAAACTGGCAAACTTGAACTCAATACAACAGGCCTTGTGTGCACATTCTTGCCCCTTTTCCTTTCGGGTTCCTCCAGAACCATTTTGTTTGTGCGGTACGTGTGATACTCTTCCCCCACTGCAATCAAATTCATGGACGTGTGTATATGCTCTTCTCAGGCAGGGTACCACCGCAACCCCACAACTACCCGCCCTTTTTTTGTACCATGGTTTCTGCGGCGCCGCTGCGCCGCCGCACACCCCGGTGTGTTGGCGCCGGTGCTTCACCCCCACACCCATTCAGTACCTCTCTTCCTGGTCACCGATGTATTCTCATTTTCCCTCTTAATCCTTTCTCTTCCGTTTGGATTGGATTGGATTGCTAGAATGATCTGTAACTCGCCGTGCGCCGCAAGGCAGAACCGGTGGCGCGCCGCAAGGCAGAACCGGTGTATGCACCAACAGCAATAACTTGATGCCTCCTCCAGCAGCCGTTGAATGAATGGCCCGACATGGCGCCAACAGCTGCAATGGGATGGCACCACCCCTGCGGATGTGCCAGGCGGCGTGTGTGCCCTCCCACCTCACGTCGGCCACGTGCAGTCCAGACTGCAGCCGCGCTGGCTGCTGTTGCTATCACAGCCACCAACGGGGCATACCCAGCATCGGGAGGGGAATGGGATCCTCTGGTGAATGCAATTTGCGAACCGGTGGATGATTAGTTAAGGCACAGCAGGGGGAGGTGCGGCGGCCATTACAATGCCCCCCGTGTGACCGCCGCCGCCTGCGGCAGAAAATTGGGTTTCGACGCACCTTTGCGCTCCTGGCTTGTTTTGTCTCACAGATGACCTGAGTTCAAGTAGTTGCATGCCCGCAGGCCGCCGTTTGGGCGCTGACCGGCATGGTGCGACCCGTGCTAGAGGGTACTGGCGACCGAAAAGCAAACTACTGTAAGGGCGCACACAAGCTCCCAACATTTCATCCTTGCTCCTGGCGGTGGGATGTCAGAGTAGAGAGTAGGAGCTCTCGCCCTGCACCCCTCCTCCGCTGCTGGACTTGTGTGTACACACCCACTCCGCCGCCCTCTCTTCTTGCCACCGCCCCCCCAGCTGAGCCGTCGGACCAGAGCCGGTGCGCGGATAGCAAAGGTCTGAGCCCCCAGTCGCACCATGCTGAGCAAGGCGGCCACCCGCGGCGGGCGCGCCTGGTGCCTGCTGGCGGCAGCGCTCCTGGTGCTGTCAGCCATGCCTGGCTGCGAGGCCAGGTGAGGGGTCTGCTGCTGGGTTGCTAGACGCTGCACCGCTGTTTGTTAGTGGGCGGCGTATGCGGGAACTGGTGGGCCATGCAGGCGCCGCAATACTGACGTTTGCTGCCGCCCTCCCGCTGGTTGTGCAGCCAGGGCCTGACCCGCAAGATTTATTCTGATGGAAACCCCGTCAACATCATGCCCGACTTTGTCAACATGGTGAGCCCGCGGAATGTTCACTGCCGTGTCACCCTTGTGGCACAGGTCGGGCGCCTGCCCTGCCCTAGCTGCCGGCCTCCCCGCTCTTGCTCAAGCGCTCCCAATCCGCTCCTCGCCCTGCGCAGTCTCCAGTGGAGACGTCAGTGGTGCCCTCTGTGGATGTCCAATGCCGCGACCTGAACAACGTGGCGACCTGCTTCAGCGGCACCTGGGGCGAGTACGTCGGCGTCACCTGGGACGGCTTCCTGGTGGTGCCAGCCAACGGCACCTATGAGCTCTTCCTCAACTCCGATGATGGCAGCGTGCTGTTCCTGGACGGCGAGCTGGTGCTGGACAACGACGGCGGGCCGCACGTGGAGCGCGAGCTGTCTGCAGTGGTCTGGATGGCGGCGGGCTACCACGCGATCCACATTGAGTGGTTCAACCAGCGCCGCCACGCCGTCTGCCAGCTCAAGTGGGCCTCCACGGAGCGAGGCATGGCCAAGCAGGTGGTGACCGGGGACGCGCTGCAGACCACCAACCCCAATGCCGGCAGCACTCCCGCCATCTTCTTCGATGGGCTCAACCTGTTTGTCTACCAGAACGGACAGTCCGTCTACAATTTCATCGACTACTCCACGCTGGCGCCCTCGGCGCTCAAGCTGCAGAAGATCCAGCGCCACCTGGACTGCTACCCCATGTCCCGCTGCTATGGCTCCTCGAGCACCCCCCTCCTCACCAACTCCTGGGCAAAGGTGTGCGTCACGCAGTGTTCTGCAGAATGTGCATTTGTCCAGCCCATGCAGCCCATGCACGGTGTGCACTTCGATCCCTCCTCGTCAAACACCTTGGCTCGCTCCCTTTCCCATGCGTGTGCAGTTTGCCGGCTACATCCTGATCCCCAGCCGGCAGCTACACCTTCTGGCTGGACTCTGATGACGGCAGCCGCTTACTGCTCGACAACAACCTAGTCCTCGACAATGGCGGCATGCACTCGATGCTGGAAAAGAATTTGACCATCACCCTGGCAGCTGGCTGGCAGCCCATCCAGATTGACTACTTTCAGGGCCCCGGCGTGGCAGGCATGCGGCTCAACTGGCAGGGCCCTGGCTTTGCCCGCAAGATCCTCCAATACCCCTACATTGCCTCGGCGCTCCCCCTGCCTCCCGGGCAAGCCTGCACGGGCGGCGACTGCATGCCCACCAACAACGGCTGCAAGCCTGGCCGCTTCTTTGCTGATGCCCAGTGCAAGCTGTGCCCGGCCGGCTCCTCCTGCCCCGGCGGCTTTGGCGGGCCCACCGAGTGCTCTCCTGGCTACTATGCTCAGGACACCGGCATGGAGGCTTGCTCCCCATGCCCCGAGTACTCCTTTGCCTACTTCCCCGGCTCCACCGCCTGCATTGCCTGCTACTTTGGGGAGCCCAAGGTTGTGGCGGGCAAGGATGATGGGTTCTGGCCGTACAACCTTCCTGCAGAGCAGGCTCGCGCTGGTGGGTGGCAGTGCATTGCGGCAGAGTTGCTTTGGCTTGCCTGGGGCGAGCTCGCTTCTTATCCTGCACTGTACTTGGCATCCCGCACATGTTGTGCTGCAGGCTACCGCTCCGCCGTCCTGACCGACAACCTGGGCAGCTGCCCCTTTGCGCACCCGTTCAAAACCGACTGCTCTGCCACTGCTGGACGCACAGTTGCCTTTGAGACGGATGCCTCCTGCCTGGTGCGCGTCTATGTGCTGGGAGACCCCAGCTGCTCCCAGACAGACAACATGACCATTGTGGATGGGTGAGTTGGGGAGGTGAAGGGCAAAGTGCCCTGCTGCATAGTGTGCATGCTGGCAGCACTGCAACCGCTGCTCATGCTTACTGCAATCTTCCCTCTGCCTCATGCCAACTGCAGCGCCTACCGCAACATCTACTCTGTTGAGTCGCTGCCTGGTGACACCACCGGACCCCGCATTCTGGCAAAGACCATCGGCCCCGACATGGGCCTCACCTTGAAGCACCTCTCCGACAACACCCTGGCCTGCACCACCACCATGACTGTCCCCCAGGCAGACCCAGAGGATGGCTGCCCCGTTGGAACCACGCTGGAGGTCCACTCGCAGGTGGGTGGCAGGCACCCAGCTGCGGCAAATCTCAGCTGCTGCATGTGCAGCAGGGTGCAGCTCAGCTGCCGGACTGCTCACTCTCCTGCCCACCCCTGCAGAACAGCACCGACCCTCTGGTTCCAGTGTTCAAGTACACAGCCTGCGTGCCGTGCACCACCGGCAACAAGTGCCCCACGGGCTCCTCTGTGGCCTGCGCCGCTGGCTCCTACACTGAGCTGGTGGGCGCCGCCGCCTGCTTCACCTGCCCCAACGGCACAGCCAGCCAAGCAGGCGAGTCGGGGCCGCAGCCATGCCATACAACCGCCGCGTGGATGAGGGGAGGCCTGCTACTGCATAAAGGCTTTGCCCTCACCTCACCTTCCCTGCACACACTCACGCCCACCTGCAGGCGCCGAGACGTGCCAGGAGTGCGCGCCCGGCACTGAGCCTTCCTCTGGCAAGGCCACCTGCCAGCTGTGCCCTGCTGGCATGTTCAACCCTGTGCCTGGTGGAGCTTGCCGCCAGTGCCCCGTTGGCACCTTCCGTGTGGCTGGCGGCGGTGATGGCACCCAGTGCACCAAGTGCCCTCCCGGCACCTTCACAGACCTGACCGGCCAGGCAACCTGCACTCCTTGCGCCACTGGTTACGCCAATGCCGGTGAAGGCGCCACGACCTGCAGCCCCTGGTGAGGCCGCTGCTGCTACTGCTCTCCTTTGCTGCATGAGCACCTCTGCCAGGTCAGCATTCCAGCATCACACCTGCTGACATTCAGCTCCAATGTACCCCATGCAGCGGCCCCGGCACTTTTGCCAACGGCACCGGCTCCTACACCTGCAACACCTGCCCCGCGGGCTCCTACTCCAACCAAGCCGCCAACCCCACCTGCACCAGCTGCCCCCCTGGCGAGATCACGGC